CATACAGCATTTGTCCGTCATTCTTTAGATGACCAAAGTACTCAGAAGGTAGACACTTTGTTCATTAGCTTCACAGAGCTGATAACCATTACGTTGCAGGGAGCCACTTACTGATAAGCTTTTGTTATAAATTGTACATTTGACACGTTCCACTAATTTATACCTACATGTATTGTTCAAGTGATGACACACCATTTATTTCCCACAAGAGAACATTGAATTCAAAATCAGGTAAAATTAAAGATGTTACAATTTTGTCATGTTTTCCTGAAGACAATTTAACCCCCCCAAAAACCAAACATTTTTGATATGCTCGCCATGTAACTGAACAGGCTCAGTTTGAATAGACTCTCTGAAGTAGAAACAAGTAAAAGCTAGAAATGTAGACTGCTTTGTTGACACAATATGTGTTTTTTTCTACAAATCACATCTCGCTGAATGCACCAACCATGACACCTGCCAGTTGCCAAGACAACATGAGCCATGTTTATAATGCTCTTTCCCACATGGCAACAAAGGCGGTAGATGATCTTTGACAGGTTAGCTTGCACCAGCTCAGCATATTACTCACTTTAGGACTTAGCAATTCAAATCAATAGAATTGAATTTCACAATGGTGCCAGATAAGCACCTCTGTATGTCAAGCCCCCCCCCCTCCCCCGAGGAACATTGAAGTGACCTATAAGTAGACCCTGGTGGCAGAGCTCTTGACCTGCGAAAATCATATAATAGAGAATCTATAGAATGTCACAGGTCTTTACCGACAGTCTTATTACAAGTAAACAATGAAATCAAATAATGCTCTTTGCATCATGGAGTCTAGCACAAACAAAACAGTGCATGATTGAATAACGCAATGAAGGAAATTATACCGATTATCACAAGTTTCAATAAGTTGACGTAGATTTTTATTCATACAGTACATATTCACCACTTGTGTTCAAACGATAAAGACTTTCCTGATTCAATTTACAGACACAAATGAGCAATGGGTGCAATACTGTATTTTTTCTATACACCTAGCTGTCATTATTAACATTCGTTATACAAAGTAATAATGATGGAGTGGCACAATAAATCATTTTAGTTTTGTTCACAAAATAATCATCAAAAGGACTAACAGAAAATTTGTCCAGAAGGAAATTATGATTTAATTTTTCAAAACAAGTAAATTTTCATTATAAAAAACCAATCACATTCATGTACATGTACAGGTGACCTATTTTTTTTAGTTCCACACCCATGCCCGTTCCTTTGTGTATGGGTTTTTTGGGTGACTACAATGCAACAAGGAATCGGTATACCTATAGTATAAACACCATAATTGGTCCATTAGAAGTACATGTGCTTAAGCGGTATATGTAAATAACCTATTAAAATAAAAATAAACGAGTTTGCTGTACTTATTGTTCCACCAGGTGTATCCATTACAACAAAGCAACTCGACTATTTACTGCCAGCTAAATACTAGTATGTTAGTCTGTTGAAAGTATATGGCTACCTACCTACATTGTAATTTCTTTTGGGAATGCAAGACAATTTAATTATTTGAATTGAAACATAAGTAATATTTTCTCATCATACATTTCAATTTTATCCATTTGATTTGTTTGTCTAAAATTGCTTGTGTTGTTTCATCAGTAGTGCTTGCTTCACTTGATTTGTGTTATAAAAAAAAACATGTTGCTAGCATAGGTGCTACCTCATACGCAATCATGTGTTACAATAATGAAATGACTAACATTATTAATAAAAAATGTAATGTAATGGCCAGTGTCTTTATTTATTACTCCCTATGGAACTGAAATATCATTGAAATATAATAGTTACACTGACAGTAATTAATTAATTCAATTAATTCCTGTCACTGACAAATTTTCAACGTTAATTAATTTATTAATTAAATTGCGGCTGTACGAAAAGCTTAAATAGCTCTGACTCTTTCATCTTGTTATTACAGTCAAAATACGCAACTCACCATAGAAAGAGTTATTTAAACAAGCAGCCTGTTTGGCTGAGATAGCTCCGCTGTTAGCAATGCACATGGCAATTAAAGAACAGAAGATATCATTAGAAAATGAACAAATCTGAGAGAGGTCCACATGTAGTACCTATATGTATAATATATCAAAGCAATCGGACTTGCGGTTTTCAACAAGAAGTCGAAAATATCACTTTTTACCAAAAATTACAAAAATATTCATCAAAATTAGAGAATTAAAGATATCATTATGAAATGAACAAATCTGAGAGAGGTCCACATGTAGTACCTATATATGTAATATCAAAGCAATTGGACTTGCGGTTTTCAACAAGAAGTCGAAAATATCACTTTTTACCAAAAATTACAAAAATATTCACCGAAATTAGAGAATTAAAGATATCATTACAAAATGAACAAATCTGAGAGAGGGTCACATGTAGTACCTATATATGTAATATCAAAGCAATTGGACTTGCGGTTTTCAACAAGAAGTCAAAAATATCACTTTTTACCAAAAATTACAAAAATATTCACCAAAATTAGAGAATTAAAGATATCATTACAAAATGAACAAATCTGAGAGAGGGTCACATGTAGTACCTATATATGTAATATCAAAGCAATTGGACTTGCGGTTTTCAACAAGAAGTCGAAAATATCACTTTTTACCAAAAATTACAAAAATATTCACCAAAATTAGAGAATTGAAGATATCATTACAAAATGAACAAATCTGAGAGAGGTCTACCCAAGGTACATATACACCAAGTATCAAAGCATTCAGGCTTGTAGTTTTCAAGAAGAAGTCGAAAAAGTAAAACATTGACACGGACGACGGACGACGGAGACGGACGACGACGGACAATCACTCATATGATAAGCTCCGCTCGACAAAGTCGACAGCGGAGCTAAATATAAAGAGAACATATTTTATTACATTTTTATATTTAATTTTCACTATTCTAATTTACATGTACAGTGAAGAGAGTGAAGCAGCAAAGAGTTTAATCAAGGAATGATTTCTAAAAATACAATTAAATTATTTTACAATTATGTACAAGATTGATATTATATTAAAAAGCAGTTACACTAGATAAAACTATGGCAGATCCAATTTAAAACAAAATTTTAATACTAGATATCTATATTAATACCTACTACAAATTAATCATGCAGAAACATGTTAAGAGCAATTATTTGTTGAAAAATATATTCATAATGCTTTCATAACAAAATTATCTGTAAATTCAACATACGTTGGACAATAAAAATTACCTTCTGCTACATCATGGGATAATTATTTTTAACTAGGACAGGTATATTATTAGTATAAAATAGGAAATTTGTATTTCATATAAAATTTCATACAAAAGAAAACCCATATAATAAGCCATTCAAGATTCAAATACAGGCAAGGATTGATGATTTAATTATTAATGATTTAATTAATAATTTCACAGTTGGAAAACTTTTTAAACTGAAGATTTGATTGAATATGAAACAAGGACAAGAAGATACTGTCACACTGTGTTCATTTCAAAGCTTTATTTTGGGGCATTCTCTCAATGAAGAGCTCAAGTGAAGATAGATGAAGATGACGTGAGAAATATTCTTATTAATTTTAAACATTGCAAAAAAAAACATTGTGTTCAATTCATCTGATTCAAGGAGGTTTTTAAGATCAAATCATAACATTTCTCAGCGCCAATTTGCCAATTTAAGGGAACACTGGGACACTGTGTGAGTCAGAGTGTATGGTGGTTATGTGTTGTATGGATCAATGCTATAAAGTTAAATGAACCCAGGATTTAATTTAAATATCTATCAACCATAAACACTTTATGGCCATCTGCCTCATACTGATCAAGGTCTTCACATAAATAATGTAATAAAAAACAAACTGATCTAATACTAGTAAGGTAGCCAATATATAAAAACGATGCGTTTTAAACTGGCGGCATTGTTGTTGATCTGAGAATTCAAGAAAGGGCATCCTCGTAACAGGTACAAATGATAATAAAAGCAAGGGACAGACTGCACACAAACCGGTATGTAAATTTAGGTCATGAACCGACCATTCAAAAACTACATATTTAGTTTGTCTAGATTTTGACAGTCATAAATATATAACAGTAATTGTAAACACGCTTTCAGAGTGAAAAAAATCAGATAGAAATTTTGTAGATGATCATGTAATATTTTAACGTTAGGAATAAAGTCTACCTACCCATAGCAGGGTTTATTTTCTGCCAAAAATAATTTGTTTTACAAGCCGACACTACACGAATGTATTTAATGTCATGTATGTAGCGTACGGACAGATTCCACCTTTCGATTTATTTATGTTTTTGAATCACAATATTTTTTCATGAAAACAAATGTGATTAGTCAGCAAAACTAAAAAATAACACAGAATAAAACGCGATGCTCGTTCACAGTGATAATCAATTTATGCTAATGGTGACTTGTATGTTTATGTACAGAACTCATTGATTAACTGAATAAGTGATGTTTCTAAAAGACAGTTATTGTGTTGTTTTTTATTCACTGCATATTTTCAATTCTACATAGCCTCATGTGTGTAAAAGAATTTTATTGATGAAACCAATGGAGACCATTGACAGCTCCCCGGTACTGTTTAACCAGCCGTGTGTTTAGATTTCTATTTCAACCTTGCCAACACTAACCAATAACAAATGTTGGTACAAATTTTCCTTAAATTAATTAAAGAATTTGGGAGGTCAAGAAGTAACTGGGCAGAAAACAGGTGATAGTATCAAGCTAGTCAGTGTGCAGGTTGTATACATTTTTAGATTTTTCAAATAATTATCCATAAAGTTATTTTCCTCTTTAATAATATAGTGTTTTTAATAATTAAATAGACTAATTTGGTGCAGGTAATAGATATTTCACATATATACATTTCTCTACTAAAAAAAGACGGAAAATATAAAATACTGTTTAGTAGGGGGTGATAAAAAATCTGATAATGTGATAATTAAACGTAGTTACATACCTCTAATTAGTTCATATATATTCATATCCATCAATTCACATATTAGTGCCAGTGTACCTGACTTCTTGTCACTGTAAATCGAGAGACGTAAAAGACGTGTTACAAACGGAAAAACAAATAGGCACAACCACAGTCCATTTTGGAGAGACTGTTGCACGACAAATTGGCGGTGGTGGTTCGCTGATAGCAAAGAAACAACACGAAAGGTAACCTTGGATTTTGTACTTACAAAATTACTTCTCGGAGTTCAAGAATATTTTGATGGGGACTTAGTCTTCTCATAGCCTGTATTTCCCGTAAATTGTTGACATGCTCAAGGCTAAAATAACAAATGAAAGCGTATATTAGAAACATGCAAAGTAAAAATACAAACTCACATGAACATATATCGTAAATTATGAGGGAATTTTTCTCACCTGTCGTAATGCTGTTTCATTTTCTTGCATGCATAGTACTGACCGTCTTTTATGTTTTGACACTTCAATACCTCAGAAAACGTGCCTTCGCCCTTCTTCCCCAGGATTCGATATTCTGTTGAAATAAAAATAACATCCATTGGTGACCAAGACTGTTTTTCGACGTGTCTAAATCAAATTACTTAGTTTGTTGTTCGCAGTTACGCTCGATGAAATGCGAAGCCTTGATTTGATTTCGGGGATTCCGCAAACGCAACATCATAAATAAAATCAAAACTAAATCATTACTTTGCATGGCTGATCCTGTTGCTACTAGACCATTGTGAAATAAAATCCTATTGAATCTCGGAAAGACAGTCTCCACATATCGGAACACAGCATATATCAGAAATGAACCACGACTTGTAAACTTGTCTGTCTCCCTAGGCGGCCATGTTTGATAACTTCCTATTTTGTGTGGGACTACATTTGGGAAAATCACTCTATTTACATTAGTGTATTCATACACTAGTCTCGTTTCAAAGCTTCATAGACGACATATTTAAACTCCTTTACAACAAATGTAAACATAACTATAATCATACAAAAATGTTAAGTCTAATAATTTACATAATGTATCATCAATAAATGACGTGCATGTGTGTGCTCGGGATCTATTTCCTGCATGCGGAGGGATAGTAAATATGTCACTGAGATTAGTTGGCCTATCGAAGAATAGCTTCTGTTCTGTTGCCAATGGTAACAGGACATATGCTTGACGCACGACGTGCAGATATCATCAGTCTTGTCAGCGTTTGATTTGACTTGTAGGAAACTTAGCTGTTACATTGAGCTCAGATATGCTATGAACATATGTATTTACTTATCATATGTTTACTAGCAATTTGTTGAAAATTAGTCATTTGATAGCGAAAACAAAATACTGACCACCACTACTTTGATTGTATGTCCCCGATGTTTGGAGGATTGTCCGGGGGACTGTGTATAAACGAATATACACACATCCATCCGGACTATGCCGGTGTTGGCGCGCGTCGAATTCAAATTCGGAAAAAATAAACAAGTGAATGCAGAAATAAAACACTAGCAGATTTCTTTATGTCATTGCTCACAAATCACCGAACTAGTTTATGCTTAATTGAATTAGGCTAGTAGCATACTCATAATTTTTGAGAAAGTTAGTCATAAATCGCATGACAATATTCATTGGTTTATTGTGTAAAATCGTGAAGCTAATATCTCACGGAACCATGGAATAGCATCTTTCGTGTGTTACAGTATTTCGAGAAATTCGTCCTAATATTTTTCAAAAAATGCTATTTTTAGAACAATTCCATAGAGCGAAATGTTAAAGAAAAATTTCATTTTTTGCGACCCAGATTTTGGGAACAATAAAAAGTACCCCATTATTCACAATATATAATATATCAGCCTATGTCACATAGGAACCATAGTAACTATGGTAAAAGCGTTATAATACTGACGAAATGACCACTATACACTATAAAATGCAAGTATCGCAAAAGTTAAGCTGGTGACCCCAACTTTTTTTAAATCAATATGGAAAATGAATAAATTATGGGTATTTTAAATCAAGAGTAGGCTTCTACCTTAAGTATTTTACTAGGAATATAAAGATATAATCATTATAAAACCTTACAAAACCAACTGACCAACGACTACTTTGTGGCATTCATTTTTATTGGAGTGAATGTAATGCTATCTTTAAGAACCTGCAACATGGATTTGATATAGCTATATCAACGCGATATTACTATTAATACTGGTCTGATGGCACGATTACTAAAAATAATTTGGTAACCATTTTAACATGTTCAGTTATATAGGAGTTGCAACATACTTTGTGCAGTCTCTCCATGTTTTTGTGATCACAGAATGGAAAACAAAAGTGTTTATAGAATAAATGTTTGAGGGCGCTGTCGGGTTAAAACACCATATCCACAATAATATTGCCACATGACACTGTAACAATATTGTTCACAAGAGTTATAGCAATATCGTTACCATGGCAACAATTAGATCAAATGCTATTTTAAAATTTCTGTGCAAAATGCATTTTGTTCGTACCTGAACGCCATCGCCAGTTGAACATGGATATCTATAATTGAGATTTGGTAAATAATCATGTTACCATGGCAATAAAGTACTAAGATCGGCGTGTTATATACGATAAATGCGGAGTTTTATGGAAAGACCAACTCGTCCAAATTTATTTTATTATCCACTAAAAAACGTGTGAATAACTTGAAAAAAAATACAGGTTAACACTTTCTAGCATGTCTTCTAGTTCCGGTAAATAAATATTTGTATATAGCCACCATAGATCATGAAACAACGAGAGAAAAATGACCACTGTACGGTTAGTTTTAACACAGTTCATTATGGGTTTTATTATTTGCCATAGCCAGAGTTTTGAGAAAGGTTAACGATGTACGCATGCGTAGAGACCTATTCAGTATGCGTATCCTTTTTGTGAGACCGATGAGATATAATTTAGTCGAAACCTATATATCTCACACCGTATGCGTGGAAGCACCATAACAATACTTAGTACTAGTGAGTATTTATATGGTTAGAGACATGTTTTAACTTTTATACTTCTTCCGGCACCTTAAACCACAACATAGGCTAACAACTGTAAAATGTTGTTATTATGTTAAGAAAATTGTACGTGACGCTAAACGAATATATATGACGTCATGCAACAAATACCACCAGTAGAAATTATCATTATATATCAAAGATAAAAAATAAACACCTAATCTAATCTAATATTAAAATGAAGGCGATGACTTGTTGAGGACACACATCCGGGGTCAAACATTGACTTACTATCAGCTAGTGAATAAAATAAAAAGCTAAAACAAACAGAAACACAAGTGATTCATTGTTCCATGAATTTGTTAAAGGGCGGCGGTTGTCGTGCCGCGTCCTGTTCGATATGGGACTCATAGCGACGTACACAGCGCGTGTAAAATACATTATTTGTTTACATGAAATTCGAACACGCGCTGTGCCAAGACCACCGCCCTTTAAACAATTTGAAAATGGTCATTGTTTTAAATCTTCTGTGTCGCCTGTCCATGATGAAAACCGTCCTTATGAGACCTTCGTTCAACCACAGTCCCTCAATAGGGACTGTGGTTCAACGAGTTGAAATGAACATGTTTCCAAACAGCGCCACCTAGTGTGTACACTACAAACAAACAGTAGTTACTCAATAACACATTGTCTGACGATGATTAGACGGAACAGCCTGACGAACCAACTATAAATAAAGATGTACTGCTACGCCGAATTTCAGGCCTACCCCTGATGATGGTAATGGTATATACACAATTTATTGACAGCGCGATTGGGCCTTGTTTTGACATTTAAGGTAGCGAGAGGGGAAACACAAGTTATAGTTTAATTGAGATTAGGATTTTCCTCGCCAGTTACTAAGCATGTAGTTATGGCAATGTATATGTTTTCAGAAAGCTGGGATATAACAGAATACGATCATATATGTTTTGTCTTAATATTTGTTCAAGGGATTAAGTTACGATCGTTCCCGTGAACCTCCTAAATATAATTTTTTTGCGGGATTGGCCGTTTTTGGGGGTTCCTTTTTTCTATGTTTCTGATCTTTTCACTGTTACGCACCGAATGCATCGCGCACAGTAAATTTGGACCAGAGATAAAGAAAGTACACAATATAATGTTTCTTAATCCGAAATTGTTTGAAAAATGTTTTTTCTTCAATCTTAGAACTGTTATATTTGTTATTATCTTTAAAAAAAAATAGCCCTCCCGGATGTTGTTATGCGTCATCAATGTGTGTAAATAAAACAAAATATACAAGCTACTTAACCGAATAATTAATTACATCTACGTCCGCATTATTACATCCGCATAGTACATGTACTGTTGCCTATTACGTGTACGACTACGTATTATACGTACTGATGAAAACGTTAAGGAATGGTTTTATAACGAATACACCAACAGTAGCTCCGTGCATGTTTTTCAAGTTAAACCTGTTCCGTACGACAATAACGACATATGTAGTCATATTAGATTCCGAGGTTTACAAGTTGCTTGATTATCACGTCATAATTCAGAAGTAACTAAGATGGCTACAAGCGCCGTCCCAATGTGTAGTGTTTGGTTATATATAGGGGTCAAGGGTCATTCCATAGAACGTATCTGGACTATTGGTTTTAAACGTTTACACCCTACAACACAATTCGTGCGTCATAATTCAGAAGTAACTAAGATGGCTACAAGCGCCGTCCCAATGTGTAGTGTTTGGTTATATATAGGGGTCAAGGGTCATTCCATAGAACGTATCTGGACTATTGGTTTTAAACGTTTACACCCTACAACGCAATTCGTGCTGGATGCGCTGAATACGCTGATAACAATATGAACTGTGTACACCAACGTATCGACATACAAAAGTTACTCACAGTAATCGTGGCACCGTCGATATTTTAAGTACATGTATGATTAGTTCATTTTTGCGCCAATTGCGTTTGAAAATACTAACGCCCGTTTAATTGTCTGAGTAACTGGTAAATGGTGGCATGTGCAGTTGGTTTAACCATATACTTTAAAAAATCTTAGATCCTATTGAATGGTACGTAATTTTACAGTTGGCTTCGCTATGATGCCGCATGCTCACTCCGACTTCTCCCATTTTGCTAAGAAAGCTAATAAAAAGACGCTTTAATTAAAGACAATGTCCAGCATTATAATACTATGAACAAGCAATTCTCTGCCAAGTCAGGTGCACACAACCCCCAAAATAACCTACAAAACCAAACAACACCATTCTGTATAAACGCAGCTGTGAGGGAATATGTTTACAGGTATTCTATGATAGGTATTCCCTCGTTAATTGTGCACAAACTCTGAAATTACGAGTTGCTATGCCACTTTAAAATCGACTTGACTTCTACAATTTATAACACGCATAATGCAGAGTACTTATAGTTTGGATGTAATTGAAGACGGAATTTTAGTTTTTCTGTCACCATTAAATTGAGAATTTTGCTTATGTTTGAGTTTAACGTCATGAACGGGGACAGGCAGAAAAACAATGTTTTGTGTTCTGTGATAGGTATATTTGATGGTTAAAAACCTTTCACTTAGGTAACCGGGATTCGGTCGTTTCCACGCTAGGCTGACAAAAACACACACAAGCTTCGTTCATGTTCCCAAACGATTCTCTGCCTTGTACCTGGTTTTCACCCGAGACAGCATTAAATCACTCTTTATTTCTTGTCACTCCTTAACCAATTACAATCAGTATAAGAGACTCCAAGGCCTTGCCTTCAAACAAACAACCAATCACATGAAAGTTTTACACATCATAATCAATTAATTACTCGTCAAGCTGTCTAGAAAAAACACTACTATAT